GCCACTTTTTTGGCTACTTCAGCGAGCAATTGTTGATCAAAGTAATATATAAATATTAATATTTCTGAATATATTAATTTATCTGAGTGTATGATTGAGAGAAGTTGTTTCTTTGGATTACTGCTACTTCAGTGTGCAATGCTCTTTCGAAGTTTATAAAGCATAAAAGCCAAAGTCAATATCCTCAAGATCGTGTTTAAGGGCCAAATTCAACACAAATATGACATGGTATATATTCTTTAATTTTCCATGGATGGAAGTTTTTAAAGCTTGCCCTAGTTCTTAAACCGTACAACCCATTGCAGTTTCTGGTTGGTATAATTGGACACTTTTATATTCACTTGAGGTGTGTGTCTCTGCACTGGCTTCCTGTGGCTCAGTAATTGGACTTAAACTATGTGTACAAGTGACATGTTAGTACCATGAGAACCAACTCGGACTCTGAGGAGCACAGGGACTGGCCTCCTGCTGGTGCCTAGAGTCAGACCTACCCATGGGGAGGCAGTGTTTCAGATTCATACAGCTAAAATCTTAAACAGTTTTGATGGAAATGTAAGACAGGCTTCTTCTCTGACAATGTTCAAATTCAGGTTTAGCTGTGCATACAACTGAAGGATTGTATCTTCCCAATGTTAATGTACTGTGATTTTTTATGATTTTAATGCATGTATGAATATGTCTATCTAGTTTTGTTAAGCACTTTGAGTTGCCTTGTGTATGGCCTGTGCTATACATATAAACTTAATGTGTGTATGAGAAAAGCCAGTCCAGCTCTTCCCTTTGATTCTTTGATAATACAACGGTGATTTTGCGATTGTGAAATACACTTTTTGACTGTGTTGTTTTTCTCTGGTGTGCAGTTTGTGGCTGTGACCTGGTGCAGTCGGGATTCTTCCATCATTCGGGGGAGTACATCTGCACCGAGGATTACCAGCGGCTGTACGGGACGCAGTGTGACAGCTGTGAGCAGTACATAAACGGAGAGGTGGTGTCTGCTCTGGGGCGCACCTACCACCCACGCTGCTTTGTGTGTAGCCTCTGCAGGTACAAAAACAAAAATCATTGCACACCACTTTCCCAGCACGGGTAATATCAAGTATGTTATTGTGTAAGATTTCTTTCACAAATTGGCAAGTTAAAGCTGTTGTATTTCATTTTTAAACCATGAAAGATTGAACTGTAATAACTTCCATGTAACTAGTTCCTTCCTTCCTACAGTTTGGTTCCGTCAATATTTTTCACATGTATCTATTTTTGGCTTCTGTCACTTCTTTGGATCAGCTTTTTCAGACTGAAACATGAAAAAGAGATGACTTCTCTTGCTCAGCCAATTAATTCTCAGCCCAAAGCATTGATTTGTTCACATTTGTTCACATGTTGACTCTTTTATTTATGAAATGATAAAGTTAGATTCCCCAGCTTTAAGTTAACTTGTGTAATACAATATATACACAAGATAAAAAGCTAATGATAAAAAAACATGAAAAATCACAACTTATTAAAGAATACCACAACTAATATAATTCTGTCATATGCACAGCTATACAGAATTGTTTTCATTTGGACTTATTCAGTTATTTATGAGAATTAAACTTAAATTATCTATGAAGCTAAAACCTAATCATCTAATTATGTATCTGAGAGTAACTTGGCATAAAAACTTGCAAATGGTACAGTAAGAGGGCCACTTTGGTTTATCGGACTTGTCCAGGGGCCGACAGCATGGACTGACAGTTTTGACTGGATTGAGTCTGTTTTGAGATTTAAAATGGGGTATGATATGTCTGCATTGATTCACACAACAGCGATATTATCGCCATATGTGGAATTTTGTGACACAAGCACAGATAAATGGCAGTATATATAAGTAAAGTCAACGGCTGGGTTCCAAAAGAACTGAGCTTTACAACAAGGTAAAGCAAGATGACTACAGTGCATCTGGAAAGTATTCACAGCGCTTCACTTTTTCCACATTTTGCTATGTTACAGCCTTATTCCAAAATTGATTCAATTAATTTTTTTCCTCACAATTCTACACACAACACCCCATAATGACTACATGAAAAAAGCGCCATCAAGTTGGATGGGGAGTGTCGGTGCACAGCCATTTTCAGATCTCTCCAGAGATGTTCAATTGGATTCAAGTCTGGGCTCTGGCGGGGCCACTCAAGGACATTCACAGAGTTGTCTTGAGGCCACTTCTTTGTGATCTTTGCTGTGTGCTTGGGGTCCTTGTCCTGCTGAAAGATAAAACGTCGCCCTAGTCTGAGGTCAAAAGCGCTCTAGAGCAGGTTTTCATCCAGGATGTCTCTGTACATTGCTGCATTCATCTTTCCCTCTACCTTGACTAGTTTCCCAGTTCCTGCTGCTGAAAAACCTCCCCACAGCATGATGCTACCACCACCATGCTTCACTTTAGGGATGGTATTGACTTGGTGATGAGCAGTGCCTGGTTTCCTCCAAACATGACGCCTGGCACTCACGCGAAAGAGTTCTATCTTTGTCTCATCAGACCAGAGAATTTATTTACTCATGGTCTGAGAGTCCTTCAGGTGCCTTTTGGCAAACTCCAAATTAAGGAGCAGCTTCCGTCTGGCCACTCTACCATACAAGCCTGATTTGTGAATTGCTGTAGAGATGGTTGTCCTTCTGGAAGGTTCTCCTCTCTCCACAGACGAACGCTGGAGCTCTGACAAAGTGACCTTTTTTCATCTTCTCATTATGGGGTGTTGTGTGTAGAATTGTAAGGAAAAAAATGAATTGAATCCATTTTGGAATAAGGCTGTAACATAACAAAATGTGGAAAAATTGAATCGCTGTGAATACTTTCCGGATGCACTGTATATAGATAGATAGCTAACAATAGTACTAAGATGCAACCTCACTTTAGGTCACAGCAGCAGAGGTGGTGTAGAGTGAAATGCTGAATGCTTTATTAGCATAATCCCAATGTAAATTAGCTTCTTGCTCTAGCTCAATGGCTTTTGCACGATAATCGAACGGCACAAAGCAGTGTGGCACAAAGCAGCTTAATATAGTCCAATATCTTTTGTAATGCCACAACATTAGCATATTGCCACATTGGACCCATTTATTGCTTTCCAAACAAATCCAGACTAACAGCATATTGCACTAAAGCAGCTGAGTGTAACTGTAGCAGACACAGGCCATTACTTTTTGATGAAACAACAGCTCAAACTACTTTCCACTCTTTTCCTCTGAGCCCATTCACTACAAAATCCCGACAAAACTGCAACTCCTGAAGTTTTTGTTTGATCCCAAAAAAAACCCAGTCAGCGCAATGTTAATAGTTGATTGAAAATGGTTTAACCCGCTGGTTGCACGGACGCTTGGAATGAGGCCTATTTGTGTATTTACAGTATTTGCATGTGCTTCTCTGTGTTCTTGTCAGGAGCCCTTTTCCCATCGGAGACAGAGTGACCTTCTGCGGGAAGAAATGCATTTGTCAGCAGTGTTCGCAGTCTCTGAGCGCCAACAGACCCGTCAAGGTCCGCGGCCCGAGCTGTAAGAGACAACACACCCAATCACCTCAAACGAATGCAATTAATCCAGTTTACTTTTGATCGCAAGTATAGTATAGCGGCGTTTTGTCTTCTGAGTGATCTGAGTCTTATTCTGCTCAAGAAAATTCATTTAAACATCAAGCCAAATTGGCCATAAAAATTATACTTTTTATAGCAAACTTAAATCGAAATGTTTGTTATTCAGTCTCAAGTTTGGGGAGTAAAGGAAATCTGTGTCCAGTCAACTTTTGAAACCAGAGCGAGCCGATGCATGAAAAAAAAAATAATGCATCAGTTTTAAATAGCGCTTTTTTGGACACTCAAAGACGCTTTACATGTCATTATTCTTTCACTCCATACACGGTGGTGATAAACTACTACTGTAGCCACAGCTGCCCTGGGGCACACTGACAGAAGCGAGGCCACCAGTATGTGCCATCGGCCCCTCCGACCATCACCAGCCATTCACACACACACCAGACTCATTCTAGGCAATGGGGGTGAAGTGTCTTGCCTAAGGACACAACCGCAGTTTTGCACTTTACAGCCGCCCCACACCCTCAGGTGTTCCCAGAGGTTAAGTGTCTTGCCAAGGACACAACGACAGCAGACAGTGGGAGTTGATGGTAAAAGTCAGGCTCGAACCCACAACCCTTTGGCTCAAAGGCCAATGCTCTACCAACTGAACTACTGTCGCCCCTAAAAGACACATTCTTCTGAATACTCTGATTGTCTCTGAAGATATTATTAACAAAATACCGAAATGAGCCTTAATCACAAAATATCACGCACACATGGTAATACAGCCACTTCTAATAATCGTTTTAAATATGACTAAATTATCTTTATTTCTTTGGTTAGTTTCAGTGGAGGAGTCTTAATCACAAAGCCTGGTTTTAATTGTGTGCTGTATCTCTTTAAAGGAGGCCTGTTTCTGTTTACAGATCTGCTACTTCACAGAGTTTGAGATTTGATTGATCAGCAGATTTTAAGAGAGGCAATTATGTAGTGTTTGAAATGTCAGTGTAGCCATTATGTTACGTAAGACGGGAGCTTTCGGCAATGGCCACAAACTGCAGAGTCAGCTGCTTTGAGAAATGTAAATTAAATGTTGTCAATAAGTGCCAATCTTTCCACGCCGAGTTTGAGAAGTATATGATTGTAGAAACCACAGCTGTGTAACTTGAGACTGTGGCCATTTTTTACAGTTCCATTTTTTCGCTATGTTGCTCCCTCAATGTTCCCTGAAGTTTTTCGCACAAACAATACTAATAACAGAAACTTCTGACACAAACTGTTTTCAAATGTTGTATGCTATGACAAATCTTCAGACTATGATGTCATGAGCTGGTGTTATCAGTCTGTGTGTGTGTGTGTGTGTGTGTGTGTGTGTGTGTGTGTGTGTGTGTGTGTGTGTGTGTGTGTGTGTGTGTGTGTGTGTGTGTGTGTGTGTGTGTGTGTGTGTGTGGTCCTCAGACTGTGCGGGCTGTGGGCAGGAGATCCGGCAGGGGCAGTCGCTCCTGGCGCTGCAGCGACAGTGGCACGTGTCCTGCTTCAAGTGTCGAACCTGCGGCTGCGCTCTCACCGGCGAGTACATCTGCAAGTACGTGACCTGTCCAGACAAAACAAGTGGATAATCCCAGTAAAACACTTCTACAAGTTACAAAGTTACAGATACATTCTAAGCAAAGGAATAAGCTGCCTGTGAACCATAGACTGAACGCCTGATCCTGTCACATCTCAGGCCCTCAGGGGGGAGGCGTCCGGGCGGAGGCGTCAGGGGGGCAGCCCTCTGGAACTCCAGGTGCCACAGTGGGGCGGCTGTGACTGTAAAATGTCATTGTGTCCTGACACTCAACCCACATTACCCAGTACGAGTCTGGTGTGAGTGAATGGTTGGTAGCAGTCGGAGGGGATGATGACTCACATTGGCAGCCTTGCGTCTGTCAGCCTGCCTCAGGGCAGCTGTGATTGCTGTACTAGTTCACCACCACAGAGTGAATAATGCCAACTGAGTGTCCCAAAAGCTGCACTGATGCATTATTCAGGAATGCCAGTTTTCCAGTGAGGATCTTTTTCACAATGAAAATAATACAAAAATATCACATTAGTAAAACAAGACATTTTGTTCTTGTCCTTTGGCAAATAGGATACAACTGCTTTCTTCAAATTACTTTTCATGTTTTGCTTTGTGAATATGAAAAATAATTGAATTCAATTTTCTTTGCCTGTGCTGGAGCCTGGAGGTTTAGGAGCCTATAATCACTGGGAAAGTGGTGAAAATGAGGTAATAGTTTCAACCAGTTTTCCTCTGTCCCAATGGAACACGTGAGTAGAGGCTTTTTTCAAGGAAGTCTCTCATGTTTTGTAGAAGATGCTTCTTCCATTGTTTTAATGCAAGTTGCTTTCAAATCCATATAGAAAGTCCTAACTTCAAACACACAAACACTTTTTATCTGTTGATAAAAAACATAAACTACTATGGTTTCCAAATGCACTCAACATCTTAGACGGTACATAGCAGTTCATGATGACAAACATACAGTATATGTTTCCTTGATTCATCCATCCATCCATTCATTTTCTACCCTTTAATCCATTTCTGGGTCAGGGGGGTGGCAATCAGAGATGCCACCCAAGTCTCATAGCACCAGCCCCGCACTGACCCTCTGCAGGTGGTGAGTCCACAGGAGGACGGCTGCTCTCTGACTGTGAGCATAGCCTTGATCTTTCAGCGGGGGCTTTGGGCAAAGTGGGGTTAAGTGTCTTGGCCAAGGACACAACGACAGGAGTCATCAGTGGGAGTCGGTGGAGAAGGTGTAGAGGTGGGAATTGAACCCACGACCTTCAGGCCTTAAGGCCAATGCTCTACCAACTGAGATACTGTCGTCCTTGATTCAATCTTTTCATATTTTGGTAAAACAAGACATTTAGTTTTTTTGTATCTTTGATATTGTCATCCAGTATAACACCGCTTACTTACTGACAGGGCCTCCTTTTGCATTGTTTTGTAAAATTCTTTTCATTTCCTTTAATTGTAACAAGGTCGATGAACACAGTGGTAGCAGCTGATGATGACAAACCCACTGTGTAATCCATACACTTTCATTACTTAGTGAAAACAAAGGCCATTTTTACCCTCCTCTCTTGTGTGCAGGGATGACGTCCCGTACTGCGAGGCTGATTACCACTCTCAGTTTGGCATCAAGTGTGACGGCTGCAGCAGCTTCATCAGCGGGAGAGTGCTGGAGGTGCGTTTCAGTCTTTACTAAATGAATGGACTTCAGCTTAGATCGGAAACTGTCTAATTTTCCATGCAAATTACACAAAGTGCTTGTGGCTAAAAAAGATACAAGGACCACAGCTGCCCCTCTGTAATTGACTGAAGTGTTGACGTGGTCCAGTCCAGTCTCTTTCTGTCTTACAGTGACGTCAGTGGTAAAAGAAGGTTGCAAATGCACTGATAAAAAATCGTAATCGTTTAGCAAGGTTCCTTTTGTCGTCTTAGTAAAGTATGTTTTTTTTTACCAGACAAATGTGAGATAGCAATGTTATTACCATGATAGGATTTGGGCTGCACGCTTCTGAGGAAGTTGGAAGTTTGCCGTCTAAAACATATCAAGGTTACAACATTGGTATCTCACGTTTATCGCACTGCAAAAAAAATATAAAATATGACGCAATAAATGCTTGAATCAAATGGTTTTAATCTCAATTTGAGCACATTCTGACAAGATTTGCCAATGGGACAAAGCCATTTAGACACAGAATCATAATTATTTGTATTGTCATTTTGAGTAACAGGAAGTCACAAATTAGGAAACATCTTTGGTTTATGTTATTGTTTGAGATTTGTTTTTTAATTACGTTTTTTTTTAAGCCCAATAGTGCTCAAATTAAGTGCCTCTGGTGGGATAAATAACTGAGTCTAAATCTGAATCTGAATCACGTTTATAAAAATAACCAATTATATGATTTCTTCAAGGCTGGAGGGAAGCATTATCATCCAACTTGTGCCAAATGTGCCCGCTGTCAGATGATGTTCTTGGAAGGAGAGGAGATGTACATAACAGGTGAGCTGTTTATACCTATATTTATGCAACTGTTTTAAAATCTACCTTCGTAACTTTACTGGGGACGGTCTGCCACATCCATAGAGATTCTTACTGTTCTTTTAATTATTTTAATCTTATTGAACTTACTTGATTAGTTTTGTAAAGGAGGTATTGTGGTTCAAGGTTGCATGGATAATTTGACAGTGTTTCTGTGAACTACCTTTGTACTGTTTGATGGTACAGTATATGGTATGATTTTTATGTTTACAGGGACAGTGTGCAATAAACATCTCCCAAAATAAGAGATGCATTGAACCAGGCTATAGCGGGATTGATAATTTACACTTGTAGTCCGTGAGCAGGTTACTGACATAAAACAAAAATATTGGGGCTGGGACTCCATAAAAAAAAAAAAAACGAATTACTTAGAGGCTTTGTAATTAATTAACCGCATTTTAATCGCATATAACTATTTGACCTGAGAACAGTGAGAAGTAATTTTTTTAACATGGATTTTTAGTTTACCATTGAATAATGACTGAATACAGTACATATATATTTCCCATCAAATAACGTATCTGTCATTGCCTCCACTCACTGTATGTTTTTGATGCATACATTCGGACTAAACATCAGCTCATAGCAACTCCCTCCTCCTCCTCCTCCACCTCCTCCTCACACACAGAGTCCATAGCTCCATACACAGCGCTCATTCCGTCTCTAATTCACTTGGATATAGACACAGCTAATGTTGGTCTATGCTTGTAATAATGTACTTTTGAACAAAAAAAGTCACGGAACTCAAGTTGGTGCTCCAGTACAATCGGTCCGTCTGAAACTCATCCATTAAGGAAAGTTCCGCGGTGCAACGTCCCATACGATTAAAATGCGTCAATTTTTTTAACGCGATATTTTTTGTGGCATTAATTAATCTTAATTAACGTGTTAAAGTCCCGGTGTAACAGGCCGTTTTAACCCCCCTGGCCGGTTTACAACCCGGGGTTAAAATAGCCTAGACCAGAATACACCCCGGGGTTTATTCTGGCCTAGGCTATTTTAACCCCCCCTAGGCCAGATTAACCCCCCTCTTGTTTTATCTAATAATGATAAAATATATGTTATTAAATATTTGTTCTAAACTATTACTTAGAAGTAATTTGTTAATTACTCTATAGCCCTAATTAGTGTGATTACTTTTCATACTTTGTTTGATTAAGATTAAGATTGAGAGATCCTTTATTTGTCCCACAGTGGGGAAATTTCAGTGTTGCATCACAGGTTATAGGACAGTAGGAAAGCACACAGCACACATTAAGTGAAAAATAGCTATACTAAACAAAATAAAAATAATCTAACTCTAGCATCAATAATAAGTATAAAATCTCAATTTTGAAAATATAATAGATGTAAAAATTTAAAATTGACAAAATAAGAGGCAAGTATAAAGTACTGTGTAATCTAGTGCAAGTAAAGTGTAGTTATATGTTAGCATCTGTACATTAGCAGCAGTATGTTTACATCTGTACATTAGCAGTAGTATGTTTACATCTGTACATTAGCAGTAGTATGTTTACATCTGTACATTAGCAGTAGTATGTTTACATCTGTACATTAGCAGCAGTATGTTTACATCTGTACATTAGCAGCAGTATGTTTACATCTGTACATTAGCAGTAGTATGGTTACATCTGTACATTAGCAGCAGTAGTATGTTTACAACTGTGTATTGGCAGCTGTGCACATTCTAGTATAAGGTAAGGATATTGCAACGATGCGAGTTCAATTTGGAGAGACGAGAAACAAGAAGTTTTGAGTATTTTATTTAGGAGGAGGTTTTGGCGCCCTAGGCCCCGGTGCGGCCTTCAGAGCGGAGGGCCTCCATGCGAAGGAGCGTGCCAATCCCCCGGGACCTAGGCACTGGTGGCGGCATTTTGGCAGCGGGAAGCAGATTGAAGGCAGATTGAAGGCAGGGTGAAGAGGAGGAGGAGGGGAGGCGGTGGATGCAGGCTTCGAGAAGGCCGCGAGTGGGCGTTTCTCCGCTTTTAAGCGGCTTGCCTGGCCGGTCCGGTGATTGGAAGGGGGCGTTTGCTGTGCGATAGGCTGAGGATGAGAACCGGCCTGGAGGGGTTACCTTTGGCTGACGTCTACCAAATTGAACTTCCGCTGGCTGCATTTCAATTTGGAGAGACGAGAAACAAGAAGTTTTGAGTATTTTATTTAGGAGGAGGTTTTGGCGCCCTAGGCCCCGGTGCGGCCTTCAGAGCGGAGGGCCTCCATGCGAAGGAGCGTGCCAATCCCCAAAAGGCTGTGTTGATGGAGTTTTTGCAGCCTGGTTTGGAGGGGACAGAACGACGAGACTACTCTATGCTGTGACCGCTATCGCTATATACTGTGACCGCTATACTGTGACCGCTATCGCTATATACTGTGACCGCTATCGCTATATACTGTGACCGCTATCGCTATATACTGTGACCGCCATCGCTATATACTGTGACCGCGATCGCTATATGCTGACGACCATCATGCGCTAACCATTTTTTGCTATATACTGTGACCGCTATCGCTATATACTGTGACCGCTATCGCTATATACTGTGACCGCTATCGCTATATACTGTGACCGCTATCGCTATATACTGTGACCGCTATCGCTATATACTGTGACCGCTATCACTATATACTGTGACCGCTATTTGCTGTGACCAAACTTGCGGATACTCAGCTGCAGCCGCCACCAGGAGTTTAGCGAGTGTTTTATGGAGATGCCAAAAGCCGCTGGGCTGCCAGGATGGTAGAAGTGTCAGGCCTGATGTATGAGGAGAGGGCCGATGATGACCAGCGGCCCAGCTGCTGGAGGGCGGAATGGGGGAGCCCCAGGGACGCGGCGCGCGTGGCGGCGCCTATCCGGAAGGAGAGGGCTGTGTAGAGATGGGGAGACATGTTACAAAGCAGCAGTACGGACTTGAGTTGGGCCCTGAACCAGTTAGATGACATGGGAGGTTTATCGGGAGTAAGAGATCTCCTTTCCGAGAGCAGGGGCGAGTGTAATGCATCATGGATCTGTAGGGACGGGGAGAAGTGTCAGACCGGGCTATGACTATATTGCAAGCGCCTTTGCGTTTGGATGCTTGAGGTGGAGGTTGAAGTAGTCGGGATAATATGACAGGTCAGAGAAGGCAATGTCTCGGGATGCATTTAAAGGTGGCGTGAGAGTTTGTGAATTCGCTTATGCGTAAGAAGCCCATTTTCATGCAGGATGCAGCGGAGGAGAGAAGGTGAAGAGACGGAGGGACTAGACCAGGGCGAGGGATTCCGTGCAGGGGATCTGGCATGGCGATGGATTGGCAGAAGGGCAGAGGCGTCAGAACTCCTGGAATTTAAAGCGAGAGAGAGAGTCAGCAGACAGTTAGGTGACGAGGGACGTGACGAGCAGTGATGATAAAATGTTCAGGACTGAGAGCCATGTGATGCGTCTGAGGAGGATGTGATTTGGGGAGAGGATGAACGACCTCTGTTAATTATTTCAATGACGTCGAGGTTGTCGCACGTCACGGAAATCCTTTCCTATGCCACGTATGGTTCCGCAGCACGCAGGCTACGGTCATGGGATATATCTCGTGGAGCGCGAAGGAGATGCTTCGAGGGAAAGCGTCGGGCCGGGGCCCGGCGAACCACTGGTCCTGGAAAACCCCCAAAACCCACGGACGGGGCTGCGTCCGTGAAGAACCGCGGGGCATCTGAGACAGGATGATGTCACTGTAAAAAAAAAAAGAGATACACCATCCCAGCGGCTCTGCAGACGGGACCGGAACGCCAGGTCGGAGCGGCGCCCCGCGTCCGGGCAGACAGCATCGTTGAGGGAGGAGACGGAGCCGGCGAGGGAGAGGAGTCTGGAATAAAAGAACGACCTTGGGGAATGATACGGACGGCATAATGAAGATGCCCGAGGAGGGAGAGCAAGGACCCCTCGAAGTGACGGGAAGGCCAAGGCAGACCGGGAGAAACGCGGATGCGTTCGAGCTCGTCCAGCGGGAGGGAGGCCTCCATGGCGCGTGTGTCGAGGCGGATGCCGAGAAACTCCAGAGCGTTGGCGGGGCCTGTGGTCTTTCCGGAGTGGAGGAATCCGAGGGCAGAGAAGGCGGGCCTGAGCTTGCGGAGAGAGCCCCCGGAGCCGTCTGAGGGTGGGTTGACTACGAGGGAATTATCGGGGAAATGCAGACAGAGGGGAGCCGCGCGTAATTAAGCAGAAACAGACACGGCGCCTCCGAGAGATTGTTGAACAGAGAGGACTACTCCGGCAGACAAAGGTGAGGCGCACTGCGAAGAAGAACTCCGACGCCACTTGACCCCTGAACAGCGCCAGTGGTCGGGGTGGATGGCAGCAGCTTGAACGCGTCCGGGATGACGGCCTTGGAGAGCCAGGAGCCGGGGCCGAAAGTCTTTATCAGCCTGATCGCGTGGTCCATGGTAGCGGACTGCAGGGAGAAGGGCGCTGGAGGGAAGGGGCTGTGGATGCTCGGGCGGGCCCGGAGCGGGGACAGGAGAGGACGAGTATGAGACGCTTCTTCCTGGAGTGCTTGCGGGTGGCGATGCCCATCGGGTTAGAGCGAGACGGAGAGAAGGGGCCGATGACGTAGCCCACGGACACCTCCCGCGCCCGAGCCGCGTGCCGACTTGGGGCTCACGGAGAGCCGGGAAGAGGTTGCGGGACACGAGACGCCGCGGGACCTAAACAGAGCTTGCAGTCTAATGTGAGGGATTTAAATAGAGCTTGCAGTCCAAAGTGAGGTATTAAAACTGAGCCCGCAGTCCAAGTGAGGCGTTTAACGGAGAGCCTGCAGTCTGGTGCGAGGGAGTTAAACGACCTGTAGTCCGAGGTGAGGGATTAAACTGAGAGCTTGTAGTCCAGGTGAGGGATTCAACATAGCCCGCAGTCCTAAAAGAGGGATTTATAACTGAGAGCTTGAAGTCCAAGTGAGGGATTAAACCGAGAGCTGCAGTCCAGTGTGAGGGAT